AGTGTGCGCTAGCTCACAGTTTTTTAGCCTCTAGCTCACACATTTCTGTCTTGGCTCAGGAAGGATGGCTCCAGAGCAAGCTAATTTATGCAGTAGCCAAATTGCTCGCTCACAACTTTAATGCCAGTAGCTCACAAAGTAGAATTTTTGCTCACAAGACTCCACAGCTTAGAGGGAACATTGGTCACAAGATGGAAGAATAATAGCCATGACAATAATGAGAAATGGGAAAGAAATGCTTATTATAAACTTATATGCACCAAATCAGAACCATGAAAATTTTTCATCGAATTATGTAAAATTCTTGCAATGAAGTCTTTCGAGGATATATGTATAATAGGGGACTATAACGTGGTATTTGACTCAAAAATAGATAGAGACAACTTGAGAAAGAACATAAAATCAGGCACAACCTTACCAAAAACGTTTCTACAAATGGCAGAAGAGTGCAGTATGATAGATGCATTGAAAAATAGAAATATAGATAAAAAAGATTACACCTACTATTCTCCAAGACATAAATCTTGGTCCAGGATAGATATGGCCTGGATAACAACATTCATGATAAAAGATCTAATGGAAGCTGAAATACTTCAAGCACTTTTGCCAACCATAACCCCTGCTAATTGCGTTTCAACAAGAGAAAAAGAAAACCAGATGGAAGATGAATATTGAACTTTTAAGAGATCAAGAATTTATTATAAAAACTAAAACAAAAGATTTTTTAAAAGAAACCTGCAACCAGAAATGTTGATCAATGTAGTATGGGATACATTTAAAGCCTTTTAACGAGGATGGTTTATAAATCAAAACGCTTGGATAGTAAAACAAAAAAAAGGAAAATTTGAGAATTTAAAGAAAAAGATTAAAACAGAAGAAGATAAAATGAAGAAATTCCCAGAAGCAGAAAAGATTAAGCCTGTAATGACTGGTTCAGTATTACACTATGCATATTTAGCACATTCAGCATAATGGTTTGCAGTATGTTCAGAAATCTCCAAACATTATTTTATTTATGTAGATATATATACAGTTTTTCCCCACTGGGGACCCAAAGTGGATTACAATAATATTCTCCCCTCTTCAATTTTATCCTCTCAACAATCTTGGGAGGTAAATTAGGCTGAGAAGAGGGGTGATAGAATAAAAATCCTCCAAAAGACACCTGTGAAAGTTAAGTGTAGTTTTTTTCCCTTGCTTATAATCCGATTCTGCTTCCAAAATATTAGGAAAATGCTATGATACGAGGCAGGCACCAGAGCAAATGCCTGTTCAGACATCTGTCCCAGGACTATGACTTTGAGGGAAAGTCTTTTTTCTTTCTGCCCAAGGCTTGTGTAAGACAGGTCCAGATCCTGCTTACATATTTAACCTAAGTGTATTAGGTGAAAGTAAGACTTACTGACCTGATCTGGATAGCTCTGACTAGCCCAGTCTTCACAGATCTTGGAAGCTAAGCAGGGTCAGCCCTGGTAAATTTTGGGATGGGAGATCACCAAGGAATACCAGGGTCATGTTTCAGAGACAGGTAATGTCAAACCACCTCTGAACGTCTCTTGCCTTGAAAACCCTACAGGATTGCCATAAGTTGGCTGCAACTTGGTGGGGGTGGGGGGGAGGCCTACTGGTCTCAATGGAACTTATTCATATGTTGAAGACTCTGATGCAGATATGCTTTACAGTCTCTGTTGAAGTGTTAGCCTGAGAACCATAGGCGATATCTTATATCTAATAGTTTATCATATATCTAATAGTGAACATGGCCACTTTGCAGTTTGGTAGAACCAGGGACCAGGGGCAGACACTTCAGACATTTTTCTGCAGACCTGACAAAGGCCCCAAGTTTGCAGAAAATGCCAAAAGCCAGAAAAGGGGGGTGAAATTCCCTCAAACAGACATACATTTTCTGTGCTTGTGCACCTCCAGAGGCTTACCTTGGGAGGAGAGGGGTAGTTGTTGCCCCTTTGTGAACCAGATTAGCAGAGGCAATGGTGCTGTTCTGGGGGGGGGATTTGGAACTTGTCCCCCTTCTTTGTGGCTGCTCCCTCCCAGGAGGGCAGACAATATAGTCAAGAGAGGGCTGACATGCATACAGACAGACCAGCAGGCAAGTGGGTGAGATTCCTCTCCCCTGTGAATTTAGCATGTTCTTGTCAGGGGGGATTAGGCATCAGAGGATAGATTGATGAGTGAGGGTGTGATGGGGAGATGATCCCCCCCATGTGAGTCTCTTGGGTTCCACACTTTTAATGCGTGGACTCTAATCTGGGAGAACCGGGTTTGATTCCCCCCTCCTCCACTTGCACCTGACTGGATGACCTTGGGCAAGCTGTAGCTCTGATAAGAGCTGTTCCTGAAAAAGAGCAGTTTCTGTCAGAGCTCTCTCAGCCCCACCTACCTCACAGGGTGTCTATTGTGGGGAGGGGAAGGGAAAGGAGTTTGTAAACCACTCTGAGACACCTTTGGGTAGTGAAGGGTGGGGTATAAATCCAATCTCTTCTCTTCCTCTTCTTCTAATATGCTTAATAGTGACATGAGGTTGGTGGAATATTCCCAGACAATGAACGTAATAAAGAATCCTGCTGGACTAGACCAGTGGTCCATCTACTCCAGGATCCTGTATTATACTGTGGCCAACCTATGAACATGGCATAGAAGCAAAGGCCTTCCCTTAATGTTGAGAACATCTACAATTCTGGTAACTATTTTACATGGGAAGCATGGCTTTATTTAGGGATGGGCACGAACCAGCTAACGAGCCAAAATTCAGCATGAATTTGGGCCAGTTCAAAGCCACCAAACCACTGTTCAGAAAGGGCACCTTCCCTGAACATTTACTGGACTTTTGTCCAGTTCAGTTCCACTGTTTCGACCATTTAAACCTTACAGCTGAGCAGTGCGGGTCCGCAGCTGATCTGTTAGTTGTAAATGGCTGCCAGACATTTCACCGGTTCACTTTGCTTCAGTAAAACCAACTGGTGAAATGACTGGCAGCCATTTAAACCCAACAGCTGGATAAGTCTGCCCATCAGCTGTTAGGTCGAAATGGCTGCAAGCTGTTAAACCCATCGGTTTTGCTCCCCATCCCCTGCTTTGAAGCAGGAGGAAGCGAAATGGATGGGCAATCCCCCCCCCCAGCTGTGGCGAGCTGCAGCCAGGATAAAGGGGGAACTGAACTCACTAGTTCAGGGCTTTTTGGTTCAGTTCGAGGTTTGGTTTGTGTCCCAAACTGGGGTTTTTTAGGTTTGTGCCCATCCCTGCCTCTGTTGCACACTGTGGAGGATTCTGAACGTTGGATTGGAAAGGCAGAAGTTTGCTGTCCCAAGACATCCCTTCAACATGGTAGTTTCAAAGGATTCGGGCGCCTTTTATTACAGCAAGTACCTTTCCAGTAAGGGTCTAGGTATGAAAAACTAATTCACTGTGCTACATTACAGTGTATGGATGGACAGATTTGCTTCAGTTTGCTGTTTAAAACTCTTGAACAAGGACTCAAGATAAGAAACAGTCATGTCTTCCTTGTCCATGCTTTTAGAAACTGGGGATGCCTCAGTATTGATTACAAATATAAAAGCTAACATTTTATAAGGGAAGCTCATTAGCAAAAAGAAAGCTTTTAACATTAAAATGCTATTGTTGTAAAGGTGCAAAATCTGGTCCCGTAAAATAAATTGATTAAAAAACGATCACTATAACTTTGAACTGGGTGATCCAGTGGGGTTTTTAGAGCAACCACACAACATTGTCCCCTGATCACCCACTTTCCCCACTGATCTTTCCTAAATCTGGCTTGATTTGGTCTTTTTGGAAATGCTGGTCAAAGCACATTTGCACGTAGTGCGGACAGCGGGGTCCAGTCTATCCTTTTTAAAGGTGCCTGCATACATCAGCCTGTTTCTCCCCATGCCAGTGGAGGATTTTGCCACAGCACTCCAAATAAGGGCATGAGACTACACCATGGATTTAATTAGTTTTATTCTGTGAGCTGATTTACATCATAATTTATTTTAAAATCATCTAACATATTTAAAGGGTGGGGTGTGCTAGGCAAGCCTATCATGGGCTCCCTTTGTTGCACATATCCATCCTAGCTCCAAACTTGGCCAGCAGATTCCACCAGCCTTGTTCATCATCACTTGTACACAGAATGTGCTGAGAGGTGCCAAGCCTCAACCACCTCCCTGATGTACCATGAGGCCTCTACCAGGTTTGGAAAGATGTTGCTCAGCACCGGGGCACTCCTTCCCAAACCCATTCTGCCATAAGGCCTGTGATCGAGGATGTGTCTAGAGTAGCCTGATGCCTCAGGGTGCTTGCCAATCGTCTGTACCGATCATGAGCAACCCAGCATATCCCTGCCAAATAGCTAATCAAGGACCAAGCCTATTTAATGTAATTCCCCCTTTCTAGTGACATTGCAAAGCAAGCATAAAATATTTCCCCAACGGTCAGTCAGCGGAACCAAAAAAATTCCTGCTTGGCCCCACAATTGGCAACCAAGTAATCCCACTATATCTAGAGGGTGGATGGTCAGCAGCAAGTGGCAAAAACTTGCCTGAAAGGGGTGAGGTTTACATATATAGCCCCTCATTACTCATCACCATTGGCTGACCATCTTTGGATCCCCCATTAGTGTTGACTCATGTCTCATTGAAAAGAAGTGGCCAAGGCAAACTGATCCACAACCGTAATGTGTGAATGTCTCTTTTCAGGCTTTTTAAAAAGTCTGTAATTGCTAGATTGCTGTTCCGTTATATCTGTTGCTATAATCTACAATTTCCTCTGAATTTTGTTACGCCAACTGCTTTATTTATAGCAGAGGCTAACTAAATTTTTAACGTGAGTTCTGGCCAGCTATACCAGGGTCGTGTCTGAACCCAGAGTTCCAGTAATTGAAATCACACGGGTGTTTTTCCAAAACACAAATGAGAGAATGCTGGGTTTAATTTCTGTGTTTCTACTGCGTCTTTTTCCTATGTTGGTCTCTTGTCTTTCTGCAGGGCTGTAATGTTATGGAAGATCAGGATCTCCGGGACATTGGTATTAGCGACCCACAGCACCGCAGAAAACTGCTCCAGGCAGCACGTACTCTTCCTAAGGTTAATATGGTACATATTTTCCACAAACGAACACAGTACAGCCAAGTAATTTTAGGACATCTTGCTCTCTTGGATTGTGAATGGACAGACCATTTTATAGGAGAAGCAAATGGTTCCTATCTGCTCTAATCCCCGGGCATAGTAATAAATCAAGGCATAGTAATAAATCAGGGGTATTCTTTGGCCACCGAATGAGAAGGGAGCACTCACTGGAGAACACCCTGATGCTGGGAAGGATTGAAGGTAAAAGAAGAAGGGGACGGCAAAGGATGAGATGGTTAGACAGTGTTATCGAGGCAACGAACATGAAATTAAGCAAACTCCGGAGCACGACGGAAGACAGGAGGGCTTGGCGTGATGTGGTCCATGGGGTTGCAAAGAGTCGGACTGGACTGTGTGACTGAACAACAACAACAAAGTCACATGGGAACCATTCCAATTTGGATCCCATACAGTTCATTACTAACACAGCATGTATAACTTTTAAGAAGACCCTATGACATTGCAGATCCCCCTTAACTGTGGTAGCATTTACCAGATGGCATTTGAAATCATTCCGCCAGATTTCCAGTGCCATTCCATGCAATAATACTCCAGACTAGAGTAACCCTACATAAAATTGCACTATTAATTTCCAGTCATTACCACTATATTTAAAAGATTTGAGATATTAAATCTACTTCAGAGAATAAATATTGTTTTATTAGTGTATCTGGGCAATTTAGTGCTCCTAATCAGCAAAGCTGTTTTCTTTCAAGCTATCCTATGCAATGTTAAATCTCAGTAAACTGTCAATTTCCAAATAAATCAGTTCCATACAGGCTTAGTTATTTTAAGTTATCAAGAAGCTATCATTCTATCTAACTGTATTATATGAGTGAGCAAACTGCTGTCATAACCTCTGCTATAACCTCCATGTTCTCCTCACTCTACTAGGCTGTGGGATATTTTACATCTGTCCCACACAAATTCATAGGAGCAGGTTCAGATGTGGAAATCTATACTATGACTGCCAAAACATTCAAGAGTACATTCAAGAATGCAAATTTGTAACATCATTTAAATATTTAATTAAGTATTCTTCAGCTAAACAACATGTGATCCTCCAGTTCAGTACATACAATGTGTTTACATAGATACTAAATATCTAGATCTCCTAACCTATCAAACTAATTTCCATCTGGAATTCATATTATTAAGGTGTTGTTTTTTAAGTTGCTCCACTGCAATCCATCATCTGGACCTACTTACCCACATTTATGTGAATAAAAGACCTCTGGAAAACCTGAAGAGTTACTCATCACCAAGTTGCACATTGTCTAAATAAGCATGACCACACATATTATTAACTGGAACCTTACCTCATAGCAACTGTTACCTTCAGGTTATTTTACTATACAACAGACTACTAGCACAAAAGAAGACAAATCAACACAAAGTACTGTAGAGGCACCGATAAGACATCTTAGCAGCCAACAGGAATTCGGTCAGACCATAACTAGAACCCTGAGTTGTAAACAAATGTGGTCTGCCTTATAAACTAGTAAGGAAGAAAGAGATGCATGGATGCGAAAATATAACGACAAATACACAAGAAATACCGAAGAAGTAGCATAAACTCTCCATGGGGCCTTGTTACGGGCGCGGGGGGGGGGGGGAAGACCATAACTAGAACCCTGAGTTGTAAACAAATGTGGTCTGCCTTATAAACTAGTAAGGAAGAAAGAGATGCATGGATGCGAAAATATAACGACAAATACACAAGAAATACCGAAGAAGTAGCATAAACTCT